ATCCAATTACGACACAGATTGTTTTGAATGAAATAAGGTGTAAAATTGAAGACCATACAAGGATCTCTGCATTTTTGTCAGAATTGTCCCAGTTTCTGCTACAGCTCATTCTTATGCGTTTCATTTTCTTCTCAGAACAACATGGAAGCTGTGCTGATGAGAAGAGCGCCCTCGCCTCCTTCAATGAGAGAAGCAAGATGGAGGACAAGATCCTATGGGACTTCCCAGATATGGTTCATGACAATGCCAAGGAGAGGAAGTAACTCAGATAGATGCCAGTCCTCGCCTCCGTCACTGAGAGGGAACAGTTTCCAAGATTGCATGAAGGATCCTCGTCGGAGTCTTAGGCATTGATTCACAAAAAGGCAAGGAAAGGACTCAATCTTATCAGAGATGCAGTTCCTTGCTTCCACCTTAGTGATGGAGCAAGTCTAGCTGCATTTGTACACTACTCAAAAGGATCAAAGGATCAGAATTTTAAAACAGGATTCACATCGTAAGAAATATGAGTGTCATTTAATGCGGTTGTGTTCTGGCAACAAAACAAGAAAACTTATTGGTTCCAGTCCAATGCAAACTTTATCTCCAGAGTGCTGAACTCTCGTGACACTGAAGAACGCTCAGGTCAGCGCCTTGTCCAGGTCTCCTACACAGCCCTAAAAATAATAAAAGAGGAGTTTGGGGAGAAATTGAGTTAGAATGATATCCTGGTAATGTGAGGGCGCTATTTTTGATTCTGAAATTATTACAGCTGAAAAATGAAGCACTTCCAAGATACTGTATGCATCGCAATGTGAAAAAAATTACTGTTGAGACCTTTTTATTAGAAAAATAATGCATACATCTGTCCCACATACAGACGTATCTGATGTCTGATCCCTGAATTTTTTTGAGTAGTGTATATTGGTATACGGTACAATGCTGCTAAAGCGAACAGGGCAGGGTCCATACGACTGCTTGGTGAAGCATACCTCCCAACTGGTCCGATTTCAGTGGGTGATATTTCAAAGGCCTAAAAATTGAAGCGTTCCAATTTCTGTAAAAAAAGGTGAAAAACATTCCTTGCTAGAGGGTGCTACTTGCTAGTCGTTAAAACGGCAGTACTGACTTCTGAATTTTCAATGTTGAAATCTTGGCTTTCGAGTCATAATCATCAGTCCTAAATTCATTTAAATTGAAAGCAATTTTCAGTGTTCAGTAAAAGTGCATGGAAAATTTGGGAGCCAAGGGGCATGTTCCGTATACCCAGTTGTTCAGCCTAGTGACGTACTTTATTCTTGACTTAAAGAGGTACTTTTGTACACTCAGTACAGTCAGATAATTGATCAGGTTGCTTGGAAACAAAACTACTGTTCACAAACTAGGTTATTAACTGACGTATCATATTGCATCTACTCTCATATTTATGCACATTTAAAGCTGTATTCCACAAATTCCTATGATGTAAATGTACGAAAAATTTATTACCATTTGGAAAGACTGTAAATTGTTGATAGAGAGGACTCGCATAAAAGTTTGTAACTATTGCATGCTTTTAAAAATTGAATGGTAAATTACGCTTTTCACATCTCCGTTTCCTGTTCAGGCAGCCAAAATACCAGCACCATTCAGTCAACCTAGAGGCTATTCTGAACCTCACTTTGACAAGTTTTTCCTCGGACAAAATTCTATGTGCATTATGTATTTTCCAAGTTGTACATACACATTGCGAGAGAGCATTAGACAAGAAATCTTTGACTGAAAATCATCACAAAACCGCAAGTCACAGTGCTAAAACTAAAAGGTCAATTGAAGTAAAAAATGTAATTTTGGAAAATATGGCCTTACTTTCAGCTTGAAAAAATACTTTTATGAAACAAACATTTTGTTAAACTTCCAGTCATAAAACTATTTTTTTGCAGCTGACATTTAAATTTC